ATATATATATATATATGGAAGACACTACGCAATGCCTATGGACGAAAATGAACAATATTTTTACCCATAGGCTCATCACCATCCAAAAAAATCGGGCGACGTGCTTTTTTCGACTGCCACATCCCTAGCATGTCCGTGGCAGTACCGTCATGGCCTAATGGCGGTATCGTCACGGACATACTAGGTCCATGACGGTCAAAAACTCATGCGGAACTGTAATGGGTGGGTCTGTTCAATAAACTGCCACAGACATAGCAAGTTCGTGGCGGTGGCGAAATACTGTAGCATTTCGCCTATAGGCATTTTTAAGGTTCTTCTTATATATATATAGATTTGTTTCCAGGATCTTTCACTTGAGATCTTTCTTAGTTATGGTCAAAGCTATGAACAATAGGTGTAGTGACTCTTGTCAACTTCTTGCCATGTCTCTTTTTTATAGAAATTATTTTTTGAGTCTTTATGTTGAAGTTTATATTTTTTGTTGTTCAGATAGGCATGTCTATGAGAAAATAGTTTTATTTTGTGTATTCCTTTCAGAGATGGTTAGGTCCATATCCAATTTTGAGTTGTTGGTAGAGACCTGGAACCCCAAATTACTAGAAGCTCATTTTACACAAATTCAAAGTCCATTGTAGATTTGTTGGTCATCATGGTATTCCACTGTTCTCCCAGATTCGTCATTGGTCCGATGTTCTCCCAGATTCCTTTCTCATTCCTTTTGGCTGCCTCCTTCTCAGGCCTCATTCAACACAGTCTCTAATAATCCATCGAGTGACTGCCATCACAGCTGGCTTGCTCTTCACTGCATGTTTCCACCACTTCCATGAGCACTCCAACAACTGCCAGCTTTCTCACCATTTCGGTTACAATTTACTCATTATCTTTCAATTGGCCCGTCATGTTATTATTAGAAATCAGTCTTTTATCTTACCACTTCCATGAGCAATCCAGTGACTGCCACCTTTCTCACCATTTCAGTTACAAGTCACTCCTCATTATCTTTCAATTGGCCCTTTATGGTATTATTAGAAATCGGCCTTTTATCTTACCACTTCCATGAGCAATCCAGTGACTGCCAACTTTCTCACCATGTCAATTACAAGTCACAGTCCTCATTATCTTTCAATTGGCCCTTTATCGTATTATTAGAAATCCACCTCTTATCTCATACTTTAATGAAATTGTTGGTTACAAATAATTTTATTTGTTATGGAAATATCTTAAATTATATTAAGTTTTGTTTTCACAAATTTTCAATGACTCAAACTTTTACATTATTACTATGCTACATGTTGATCCTTGCTGGCTATATCAATTGTCTTTTTTCTTTTTTTTGACAATGTTAACTGTATATCAATTGTCTTGTTAGCTGGCAAGATTTTATTTTGGGCTATATTTAATGCGTTATTATCTTTTTGATTCAAAATGCAGTAATATGAAGTTGGTCATTCAAATGCTGGAGGGTATTCACCTAGTATCTGCTGTGGAGGCCATGTGTCTAGGCGTTCGGGCTGGAATTCATTCTCGGATTCTCTATGACATACTATCGAATGCTGCTGGATGCTCATGGTGATTGTAGTTTCCATTTGTAGTCGACACGTATAACCATAGCTTGTCTTCAGTTCTATCTCGTGCTTTCATGCTGTACATGAGTGTGTGATTGATAGAACGCTTTTGGTTTTTTTGTCCAGGGTATGTGCAAACAAAAGTAAGTTCCTTGTGTGTCAACATTTCACCTATTTTGAAGGAAAGTTGAGTTTCAAAAATATGCCAGGCTAGCAACCTGTCACCTATTTTTAAAGGAAATTTGAGTTTCAAAAATACCCTAGGCTAGTTCAGAGATGTCTCCCTACGGCTTTCTCATGTTCCATCTTAGGAAATGTCTCCCTAGAATTCTGTTTTACCTATTTGTTAACAATTATAGTGCATGTTTTCTGGTCTAATAAGGGTGAGGACCTTAAACATTCCCTTAACCCTTCGCAGGCTTGGGTAAAGGAGGTAGGTAGCATTAGGTAGGTAGACAGTGTAAAACTTTGCTAAATCGTATCATGAATCCTGTAGTGCATGTTTTCCATGAAAGTAAGGCTCTGATTTGTACATTTAATATATACGCATTAATGAAATACCTCAAAAACATCGATTGTAACTCCTTAAATATATTTGGGTTAGGGTTACAATTTGTTTTGATGGATATGTTACCATATGCAAAGAAATGAAAGAGTAGAGGGAACATGAGAACTTTCACCTTTCCAGGAATGGGATCAATTAGCCAATTTGTACATCTTGGATGTGAGAAGCATATACAAGATGAAATATGATTATGGAAGAAAAGGTTAACATAATAAATCTATCACCTTGGAAGTTATTGGGGCACTTGTTCAAGTTAATGGGGACGAACAACCACCTTTAGACAGATGTCTAGACAGAAAGGGTGAATGCAATCTAGGAGGAGTACCTTCGACATTATGTGACAGGCTGACCTAGTTGTGCTGTTAGTGCAGCAAGGGCAGGCACGTTGCCCAACTGCCTTTACGTTGAGCAGATGTTAGCCGACATCATAGTTGCACGTTGATCAATGATCATCTTCATTTTGTCCAAATACCCCATGATAGTGGATGTGTTTCTTTTTAGGTTTTGAAATTTCTTTTCCAGCTACATAGACCTTGCTTCCAAGACTTGGGAATAAGTATCATGCAGGCAATCCCCCAGTTCTATCCCATTACCGTCATCTGTAATACCAAGTAGCAAGAGATAACATGAATGTAATGGAGGCAATCAGTGCTTGACCTTGCTTCATCCAAGCATTATATACTGGATTTTGATTTGATCATATATCAGATCCATCCAAGTGACCCATATATCAATACAATGAATGAAAGACAAGATTTGGCGATTCCATGTAAGGAAATTCATCCATGTTAGCTTTCGTGATTCAGTGCTTGACCTTTATTGTCAATTAGTGCTTGACCTTTCTTGTCATAAATCAGATCCATCCAAGTGACCCATAAGATCAACACTATGAATGAAAGACAAGATTTGGTGGATCCATGTAAGGAAATTTGTCTAGGTTAGCTTTTTCGAAACAAGTTGGGGAAGAAAGGAAGAGTTGAAGCCACAAAATGGGATAATTAGAAGGAATAAATGATTTAGATTGAGAATTTAGATCTAAAAATTAGATCCAAAGGAGTTTGGATAGAGACTTTGATTGTATCAAATGATTGGGAAGGAAGAATTTAAGGTAGAGGATCAAAAGAAGATTGGGAAAAAGATCAAAATCAGATTTGAGAAAGGGAAGAAGGAGATGGAACTACGTTTTATGGTAGAGAAATGATTAAGAAAAAAGGAAACTAAATAGGGAATAATCTGATTAGAGAAGGAGAAAAGAAGTGAAATTAGATTAAAGAGGAAGGAGATAACTCATGGGATTGGGGTTACTTGACAGATTTTTCTCCTGCTATGTTACCATTTGAATTTGGACAAATTCTTTCTCCTGCTCTAATACTGTGTGAGAAAATAAGAGTTGGGGAGGGAGAGAGAGAGAGAGAGATAGTGAGGATGGGGCTGCGAGTTTCTACAATTCTTTTCACCCTCTATAATTAGATGGATAACCTATTCATTTTATCTTATGTATAATACAATTTAAGGTACATTTTACACTAACACTCTTTACAAATACAAAATATTACACCAACATCTCTTTACATTAAATGCATTAAATTGAAGCTAAATTTACACTAGTGCCATTCAATGTTACTTCCTAACAAACCTTTGGTGGTGCGTACTTTTTCTTTTTGTTATCCACTCTAGTTTTACATGGACGCTGACACCAGTGTTGTATCTATATTACATATCTTAGGTCTCTTATACTTCGAGCCAAAAAGGCAATATGGTAAAGACATGTCTGTTCAATTATTTTATATTACGTTAACCTTTTCCTCAATTTGTTTATATTATTATTTTATAAATAATATTGTGTAAAATTTAAAAAATGTAAAAGAAATTATAAAATAAGAAAAACATAAACAAAGTTTATTTAACGCAAAATAATTTAATACTATCCTTACTATTTATTTTTCTTAAAACGATTTTGATTTCTACTATTTATAAAGTTTTGCATATTGTCCACAAGTATCATTGATAGCATAGTGGTAGAATGTTAAACTTTATTGAAAAGGTTATGGGCTCATACCCTCCCAATGTCAGTTTATTTTACAACATTTTTGCATATCATACCCTCTGAATGACACTATCCCCATGAATGGGTATTATTCTTCCCAAAATATAATTAATAAAAATAGTGATCTATCTTGAAGCGATTTTAATGGATACCATCACTTAAGCAAGTATTAGATGCGAACATTTAAATAGAAAAATGCTTAAAAACGCTCATATGTTAATACTTCACATGAGCGTTAAATTGAGCCTTAAATTCGGGGTGGGGGTGGGGTTGGGGGTGGGGGGGGCACTACAACGTAAAACGTAAAATATCATCAGATTGTCCTAATAATATGTGTTTTGAGCCAACTTCACTCTATTCACCTCTTTATTTATTTGCTTATTTTTGAAGTTTTTCTCTTTTCCACTATTGATAAGTTAAACTAATGTTCAAAAAACTGGCCACTTGTCTTGAACAAACTGGCCACTTGTCTTGAACAAACTGGCCACTCGACTTGAACCACTTTAATTGACTCAGAACCGGTGCTCCTGCCAAGACTTGGGGGAGTCATCCGGTACTATTTTACTTACGCAAAAAACTAAAAAAGGGGTTATTTTTTTTCTCAGATTTTTTAATTAATAATTGATCGAATACTAGTTTTCCTCCATAATCAATCTTTTCACTCCTATTTTTTATCCAAATCTATTGCATTGGATTGATTGAGATTTTAACTATGGTTTCTCATAAAAAAAGTGTGTTTCTTGAACCTAAACTTCAAAGCTGTCATTATTTCGATTTCTCTCTGGATTGTTAACCAAAAAACTTAAACTTCTTCCAAATTAGTCATGTTTAATCCTCTATCGAAACCCCAAGAGTTTGTTGGATGGAAAATGAAAACTAGAGAAATCGGGATATCAAATTTGTAGAGTTTTTTTGAACCCAAAAGAGAAAATCTTTGATTTCTCTATAATTCTTTCATGAAAATAATTCGATTTTGTCCCAAAATGCTTCTATAACACCGATCTATAAAAGTCCTAACCAATTATTTTCAATAAAAAATGAAAACTATGAAAAATTGATATTTTTTAATTTTCGGCCATTTTCCACCAATTTCTTTCCACAGTGTTTTTTATTTTTTAAATTTTAAATCTTGATGTATGTATTTTATATTTTTTTAGATTTTTTTGTGTTTTTATTTTTTATTTTTTATTTCTGCTTTTCATTTTTTCGCTATTTCTTTGGATTTTTTATTCTTAAAGAATTTTGCTCAATCGAATTTTTTTAATTTCTGTTTTATGGTTAATCAACAATCAAATATTTTATATTTTTAGTTTTTAATCATAAATGTTATGCATTTGCTAGACATATAAAATTTTAAAATTTATTACATTTCCATATTTTTGAAATAATTGTGTCCCACTCAAACTAGAATCAAACTCTTGGTATTCATTTCCCTTTTTCAATTTCATCATAATGTGTGTCATAGATGTCAATTTTTTATTCGTAAATCAATTTTATTTTTATTTTTCATTTTTTTTTGGAAAATTGTATAAATTTTTTTATTAGCTTGAGATGCCTGAATTGGGCAAACCGGAATGAGTTGGCTGTTTCACCGGGTTGATTGGGAACCGGTGGTTGACCTGTTCGGCCGGTGATCGAGTTTTTTAAACACTCAGTTAATGTTTGAATAGCTTATTTAGAATGTTCCGTGAACTTTAAAACAATCTTGATAGAGCGGGTAGAGGAATCTAGAGGTTTACATTATTGCATTTGGACATTCCATGCATTTCTGTGGTTCTTTGACCCGAAAAATTGCATTTGATTAATATTCATGCTATGGACATTCAACGAAAAATCTGATACTTCCACGTGATTTATGCAGGATGTTTGCTAATCGTGTTCCTCAAATGATAGAGGGAAATTATGTGAAGGACTGCTCTTTGAATGCTTCTGTAAAGGATCTGGTGAGGTTATCACTTGTTGTGCTTTCTGTCTCACCTATCTTCACTGATACTGATAAAGCTAATGTGGTGATGATGTTTTGTCCTTTTCTTTGTGATAAGCAATATGCTTTACTAATAAGGGGTAAAAAACGCAAAAGAATATGTTTGACTGTGGTTGCTATAATTGTTTTTTTTTCAGTTTATAATCTTTTGTTTCTTGATGTTCTTCAGCAGATATTTCATGTTAGGAATGAATTCATTTGAGAATTTGTAGACAATTTGATATCCTGAACAGTGAAATATTTTTTATATGGATATTGTTAGTTGTCCTATGAGTAGGTTCCATAGCTCATGGGAAATTTATATCTGACCATCAGGGGCATATTCTGGATCTGGCCAAGTCGCTTACATTTCCTCTTCCACTTTTAGCAGTTACCCATCAACAATTTGTTTATGGTTTGGTTCTTTAATTTTAAAACTATTTACTTCCAATATAATATTTAAAACAAATCATGTGCTGCTTTATAATTGCACTGCTTTTGTGAGACACATGCATTGAAGCTGTCATTTGTTGTTTATTTTTTGTCCCAGGATCTTCATGTGGCTATGGGGAATACTCTGATGCTTCACTTGTCAAGGTTTTTCACTGTGAAACATATTTATTTTTGAAATATTTGTGGCTTTTGGAGTTGACTGTGCAAAACTTCTAGTATTTGACTTATGTATACCTACAGATTTGGGAAAGAACAATTGGCGTGAGTGTTGCTGCTAGTGATGATATATATAACCCTTTGCAACTGGCAGAACAAAGCGTGGCAGAATCAAAACCAGTAAAAATAATTGGTTTTGTGGGGCTTGGAGCTATGGGCTTTGGCATGGCAACACAACTAGTGAAATCTAAGTTTTGTGTTTATGGTTTTGATGTACGTCGTCCTCATTAACTTCTAATACTTTTCTACTTAAAGATTTTATTTTTAATTTCTGTGTAACGTAATCAGTGATTGGATGATTGTATTGCATGAAATTATATAGTAATTAGAGAAAAATGTAAGTTTATATATGATGATGATGTCTTTGGAATGGTACTTTTTGCATGCATGCAGATGTGTCAACATGCATGCAACTCATTCAGTTATATATTCTGTATATGTATGATGAATGTATAGATGCATGTTCTAAACATAGCCTGGATTTTATGCGAACTTAGTTTCTATCAAAATTATGAATTCATCTTTTTGTAGTCTTTCGAAGTCTAATGTCTTAGATTAACAAAAAAAATTATGATTTAATTTCCTGTACTGCCAAGAGTAAGAGTGATTCATAATTTTTTTGGTGGTCTATGAGTTCATATTGTGGGTATTTTAGATTTGGGGTCAATAATAGAAAAGGTACATTTGATTGCGGATTAATTTTGTCTCTTTTTGGATAAATGTAGAAGCAAGCATTTCATTTGTAAATTTAAGTGAGGTATAGTCCAAATGGATTCTTCTCTCTTTCTTTACTCTGAGATTTTTGTTATTCTATACACTCCTAATTTGTAAGTTGTACATGCATGCATTTTGAGTTGACCATTGCTATGACGATGGTTTTTCTCATCTGTACTTAATTAAAGTGGTATCCTTTTGTTACCTTAATAGGTCGTTTTGTATGGTCGTAAAAATTTTGGTCTTCAACTTGTTATATGTTGGTTTATTGTGGCCTTTCAAGGCCTTGACACCAAGTAATTCATATTTTTTTATTGTTTTGTTGGCTCTAGCGAGAGCTCAGGACTTGAGAGGGGCCATTTGGGTGGCTTGCTGGCCCATTGTGACTCATTGGGCTTAGGTAGTCTGGGACTTGGAAGATATTTCTTTGAGTCACAGAAGTACTTGACCACGGGATTTGGGCAATGGCCCAGTTCCTATGAGGGTTTAAGGGTAACCCTCGGTCGAGGTCGAAGTGTTCCTATGGTAGGTGTCGTGAAAACATGTTCCCACATGGAAGAGATGGCTTGTGAGGACAAGAGGCAAATCCTTGACATAGCCTCATCCACAACATGTGCATATGACAATTACATTTGATAGGAAGCTGCCTTCCAGGGAGAGATCCCGGTGAAGGATGTGCACATGCATTGTTTAAGAAAAAAATGGTCTGCCCAGGGCCTAGGTGTCCAAAGGGGCCTATGCCACACACCTAGCTGGCGCGACCCTCCCTCGGGTGCCAGTACCTAGGCATTGCCTAGGTGGGCGCCTAGGTTGGTATCTATGCCCAGTCCACGGTGGGCGCCCAAGGCTTGGGTCCTTTTTTGTTTATTAAAAGAGGCCGTCATTTTGATCCACGAATTAGACTTAAAAGTATTGGGGGGTATTATAAACCCCCAAAGAGGGAAAATGATAAAATAAATCAAATCTAAACCGTACAAACATTTGGACATTTAGACTATTAGTATTTGTACTTTCATTTGAAACCTAGACTTCATGTGACTATGTCTATGTGTGTGTAACTGGGTATCATGATCGTGTATCACCATGGAATGTGGATTGGAGAAATAGGAGACTAATACACCATGGACTTATGTATGTTTTTTCATTAATTTTTCAATGATTTGAAGTTTTGAACATGTTTCAACATTTATGCATATATGTTTGCATGAAAAAACTTTAGTTGTTATTCATATAAATGCCAAAAAAATCAAAAACTAACACAAATATTTTCATATATGTGCATTTAGATAACACATATATGCATATTTCTAAAACGTTTTTGCCTAAGGGTCCTTGAGGTTCTGGGCACACTTAGGGTCCGCCTAGTAGTTTTTGGAACAGTGTGTACATCTACGAAGAGAGGAACGCCAACATAAGTGTCGTACTAGTACTTCTCCTTGGGGTTGAACCTATAGTCCACTATTTTGGGTTGGTGTGGATTTCAAGGCCTTAATATTGTGTAATTCATACCCTTAATTGATTTGTTGTCTCTAGTGAGAGCTCAAGCTCGGGGAAGTGACGGTTGGGTGGTTGTCTACCTTTGTGTCTCACTGGGCCAACACAGTTTGGGGCTTGGGAGGTATATCTCGAGTCACAAAAACCTTTGACCATAGGGTTTTGGCAATGGCCCGTATTATTATTGTGAAGGTTTAAGGGTAATCCCTTAATCAAGGTTGATGTGTGCTCGTGGTCGGATCCAGGACATAGTGTTCCAGCAGGGATGAAGCAGTCTGTTAGCATGAGGGATAAATCCCCGACACAACTTCATGCGCCCCATGTGCATGTGACAACTGCTTTATATGTGAAGCCTACCTTCCCGAGAGAGTACCCAACGAAGGGCATGCACATGTGTATAGAGAGGAAACCCCGAACCCTTGTGTGTGACGTTTAGTGTACTTGTCCTTGGGGTTGTACTTGTATTCTACTAAATCTTGAATCCTACTACCTATTTTTGGCTTTAATGGGCTAGTTGTGAGCCCCAGTTAGAGATAGTGGGTCATGGGTCTCGTTGGGTTGATTTGAGAAAGTTGTAGAGCGTATCAAGGTGAGCCGAGTGGAGTGCTGATGTAGGGAAGATGGAGGGAAGAAATAATTAAAATAAAAATAATAATAAAAGGTGAGAGAATATGCCCCCTCTCTGGGTGTGCAAGGGAGTCCACCCCAAAGATCATTCACAAGATCAACTCTTTACTCAATTCCAATCTCTCTGTTTACAAAGAGGGACTTCTTCCCTTTAAATGCACTTAGAAGAACAAATAAATAAATAAAAATGAACCCACAAAATAAACTCTCTCTCTCTCTCTCTCTCTCTCTCTCTCTCTCTCTCTCTCCCTAAATGTCGCGTCTTCTTATCAAATCACTCTCCCTAAAACTCACGTCTCCCTTATCAAACCATCTCAAGTAAGCCTTATCTTAACTAAACCTAATAAACATTTATCTCTTTAAAACCAACTTAATTCTTTGCCTAATATTAAAACCAACCCTATCCCCAAAACAACTCACGCACTACCCTATCTACTAAACAACTCACGCACTACCCTATTCACTAAAACAACAATTAATCCATTAAAATAAAATAAAATAAAATTTTGATAACCCCAAATTTTATTTGCATCATCCTCTCGGGTTGGGAGAAGCTCAACCTAGAGCTTATAGAATTCAAAAATTTTCCTTCATTATCTTATTTTCTTTGTTTCAACTGAAATTTTCACTCTTGTCTTGTCAAACTTTTGATTGGTGATTCTAAACAAACAAAGTCGTGATATGCTTAAAAAATCAATTGTGATGCCAAAATCTCTTGCACCTTCCACCACTTGTAATTCATGAGTCTCAAAGCATGTTGTGATGTGTGATTATGCTTGGATTAGTAGTTGATTCTTGATCTTCTACCTTTTCGTGTTCTTCTTCCTCCGATTGCAATCTATGAATGAGATCTCGTAGACGCTCTGTAGGACGTGAATCTTCTCTGCAAATATTTTCTTGACATTCTGGATCAGCACCTCAAGTCGGTCGGGGAACTCAATTTGTCTCTACAGTGAGATTTGGTGTCGGATCTTCACGGCTGCAAGCACCCTCTTCTCAAATAATAGTATTCTCCAACTGTTGCACTCGCTGTTTAATTTTGCCTATGTCTCTTCGGATACCCTCCATGGCTGTGTTCATGCTCTCTTTAATTTGTTGACGCACAAATTTCAAGATTTGCGACAATATATCCTCGAGTATAAGAGCAAGTTTCAACAACATTGTGATTGATGGATCTTACTTGTTCTGATACCAATTGATACAGGGAAGATGAAAGGAATAAATAATTAAAATAATAATAACATAAAGGATGAGAGAATATACCCTATCTCTGGGTCTGCAAGGGAGTCCACCCCAAAGATCTTTTCACAAGATCAACTCTTTACTCAATTCCAATCTCTCCGTTTACAAAGGGGGACTTCTTCCCTTTAAATACGCTTAGAATAAAGAAATAAATTAAAAAGAATCCACAAAAATTAACTTCTCTCTCTCTCT